ACATCCGTACCACAAGTATGCACATCACTAAACCTCTTGATGTAGAAAAAATCATTTGCTCGTTGTGCTCTACAATGTATAGCCCACAAGCACCCCCTCTCCTCCCGCATCGCACACACAGCCGTAACTCTTGTTGTCTCGTTCTTCACGTATGTGAACTTAAACCCACATTGGATGGCATACTTACATAAAACGTCACGAAATTCTTGTGCACCTCCAACAAACCGTTGTCCTATATGCGTAATACCATTTGCCCAAGGGGCTGACAACAACACCTTCTCCTTATGGTGGCAAAATCTCCGTAGTGCATCAATTTCATCCTCAACCCCCACACGCAGCAATCCCAAACTACTTGACTGACCAATATCACCCTTCAACTCAACCACAACTTCTACATGTTGTACCCTCATTGATTTAGCAAGCAGTACCATGTTCTGAAATTCTTCCTCATTGTCCAAATGACACTTATTAATCCCAGGTAGTTTACAGAACAGTGAAATAGAACCAGCAGACAACTCATCCCATTTTTCACACAAACACTCCACCAAACGAGAATAACACATTGCGCGGGCAACATTTATTACAGTTGTACTACAACCATATGTACACACCAATAGCATAAAGGTATCCATCTCCTGTAAAAACACAAAAACACAACAATGAACAGTAATGAAAATCGATATGAAAATTCACATTGCGCAAAAAATAGATGACTACGTGTACATTTCAACTGCTAAATCCATAATTCACAATATGAAGATGTGAACATTCACATTACTATTAACAAGATGTCAACATTAAGCAAACATCAAAGTCCAATGACAACATCAACAATCTTCACATAATATAATGATGTGAACATTCACATCAGTTTATGAGGATGTAAACTTTCACATTGATATTAACAAGATGTTAACATTAAGCAAGCATCAAAGTAAAATGAGAACATTAACAATCTTCACATAATTATTAACAATCTTCACAGAGCCTCATTAAGCAAACATCAATTTAAAATGAGAACATCCACATTCTTCACATATTCCCCATTCACAAAATGTGCAGATTGACATTGATATATATACTGATAATCAAATCATCCACACCGAGCCTCATTACGCATGCATCGAAGTCAAATGAGAACTACACAATCTTCACATAATACGAATGAACTCCCCTCCACATAACCACGTAAAATGCATATAATTGAAAAAACAGAGCATTCAATCCATATAAATCCAAAAACAGAGCATCTGATCCATTATACGAACGAAACCATAAACTGAACATGTATTCATAACCAAATTGATACTAACCTTGATCATCCAATCCTACAATCGTACAGAAAGTTGAAAAAAACTGATTTGAACTAGTTATAATCTGGCAAATGTAACAACCGAACACACTCCTCTTCGTCGTCTTCACACGCAAACCACAGAACCAGACTCCAACAGCAAGGACGAAACCCTGGCACAACCAAACCTTGCAACGAGCATGCAAAACATAAACGTATCTCTCGGAATTGGATTGATGATGAAAAGCGTAAAATAGAAACTGCCAAACTGCATGAACGAAGAAACAGGCACCTATTACGTATTAACACTGTACATATATATATACAGGGGCAAAATAGTCCAAGAAATTATATTTAATTAGAAAAATGGACCTTATGGAATATCCAGAAAAGTTTATGGGACTAACAAAACTGTTGACTACTCGCATCATAGTCAATATTGACATAACTCCCCGGATTGTACCGCATCACAGCATCCGAATACCACCGCAGCTGGTCAAACGATAATGAGTGATCTCCATGAATACCAGCCTTTGCTTTCTCCACACCCAACCATATGACATGGTAACTCACATCTAGCCCATAATCCCTCTTCAAAATAGTCACCACATCACACGGCCGAGTCAACGGCTTGTCCCTCACAATTTCAGATATGGTACTCAACACCAAATCTGAACTAACTCGCGGATTCTTCGATGTTCAGACATCCGTACCATAACTATGCACATCACTAAACCTCTTGATGTAGAAAAAACCATTTGCTCGTTGTGCTCTACAATGTATAGCCCACAAGCAGCCTTTCTTCTCCCACAGCGCACACACAGCAGTAACTCTTGTTGTCTCGTTCTTGGCGTACGTAAACTGAAACCCACATTGGATGGCATACTTACATAAAACCTCACGAAATTCTTGTGCACCTCCAACAAACCGTTGTCCCACATGCGTAATACCATTTGCCCACGGGGCAGACAACAACACCTTCTCCTTATGGTGGCAAAATCTACGTAGTGCATCAATTTCTTCCTCAACCCCCACACGCAGTGATCCCGAGCTACTTGACTGTCCAATATCACTTTTCAACTCAACCACAACTTCTACATGTTGTACCCCCATTGATTTAGCAAGCAGTAACATGTTCTGAAATTCTTCCTCATTGTCCAAATCACACCTATTAATCCCAGGTAGTTTATAGAACAATGAAATAGAACCAGCAGACAACTCATCCCACTTTTCACACAAACACTCCACCAAACGAGAATAACACAATGCGCGGGCAACATTTATTACAGTTGTACTACAATCATATGTACACACCAACATCATAAAAGTATCCATCTCCTGTAAAAACACAAAACCACAACAACGAACAGTAATCAAAACCGATACAAACATTCACATTGCGCAAAAAATAGATGACTATGTGTACAGTTCAAGTGCTAATTTCATAATTCACATTAAGAGATGTGAACATTCACATTGATACATATACATATTCTTCGAATTATATCACCCACGTAGAGCCTCATAAAGCAAACATCAATGTAAAATGACACCATCAACAATCTTTACACAATATTAATAAGATGTCGACATTTACATTGACACATATTGTGACGACCCCAAAATCTATATCTGAAATAACTTTTATGTCCTCGTGGGTTAATACATTTTAATTTAACGATATCTGCTCGAATTAAGGAATTATTGTTGAGTCGCAGGTTTAAAATTGAAATTACCGACCTTTATGGGTTCAGAAATCGAAATTGAGTGCTTGGTTATGCTAATGGGAATTTTTAGAACTAATTGGGAAAATTAATTAAAAATCTAATTCGTCTGATTCGTTAATGCACATTTGGGTGGTTAATTTTGTACTGCAAATTGAAAGCCTTAGAGGCTTCAGAAACCAGAATAGAGGGCATATTCATGATCAGTGTAATTTTTAGAGTCATCTGAAAAGTTTAATTGAAATTTAATTTCGTACGATTCGTAAGGCCATGTTTGGCTCTCCCTTGTGTTAATCTTGTGTGTGTGTATATTATATACATTGATGCCTTAGGAGTTGTTGAACTCATCTATTTGAACCAAAATATCTAGAGAAAGGGGAAGCCACGTGAGAGAGAGAGTTCTTGAGAGAACTCAAAGAGAAAGGAAGGAAAGCTTGGATTTACTCACCCTCTGAGGAGGAGCACAAGGAACACTTGCGAATTGTACTTGAGTTACTTAGAGTCCA